CTAGTAGATGTTGAAATAGGATTATTCGAAATTAGGTTCTCTATAGTAAATTGACGAGAACGCTTTGTTGGTGGACCATGCGAACTCGAATCATTGCGAGAACGTTTACGAATATTTTCCATTTTAATATAGAACTTTTACTAAAAATTTTTAAAAATAAATATTTATAAAATTTTTGATAAACTAAAAATAAAAATAAATTTTTAAGATATTCAAATAATAGGCGGAGTTTGGTGGACTTTGATATCTATTTAATGGGCGGTGTTTGGTAGATTTTCGAAAATTTTATCTCCTTACAGAATTACCAAATTCATTTTTAAATTTTTCATATTAATTTAAATACTTTATAAAATTAATATTTTTTGTTAATATTTAATAAATTTATTTAATGTCTCTCAATTTTGCTATGGAGCAAGAGAGATTTTTAAAAATTTTCAAAAATTTTATAAAATTTATATTTTAACAGAAAATATATTATTTTTTAAATTTATTTAATGTCTCTCAATTTTAATATGAAGGAAGAGGAAGCAATAAAGGGACTCTCGGTTGTAGAATAAATAAAAATTTGAATAATTGAGATTTTTAGGGAATGTCTCTCGATAAGGAAAAGGAGGAAGGAGTAATAAAGAGAATCACGGTTATTGTATAAAATAATAAATTTGATTAATTGAGATTTTTAGGGGATATGCTTGTACCAACCGTCTGTTAAATACTCGTATATAGAAGCAATAAATAATGCCATCAAGATGAATGAAATTTTGGATAAGGGAGGACTGGTTAGCTTCCTCACACACTACTTTAAAACAAACAGATGGTGCGAAACTTGTTTGAAAATTGTTTTGACCTACAAGTCGTGTGAGTTGATTTTTCCACGCGATGACAACTCATTTGTTTTCGAATTTTATCTGTGTTCGGACTGTGTGAAAATTATACCTCACTACTCCGAATATGTGATTCACTTTTACCCATTTTAAAGTATGAATTCATTTAATAATTTTATTCAACAATTTTTTTACAAATATATCTGGATAAATAGTTGTGTCTAATAAATTGAGATATTGTTTGAAGGTCATTCCCTTAGAAATAAAATATATAAGTCCGATACAATGGTGAGCACACGTGTTTGAGGAAAATGATTGATAGGGGTTTACATTTCTAACAATTTTTGAAAAATATTTGAGAAAAGGGTTAATTATGCATATGCTAGTAGGTAGTGAGAGACTGTCAAAGTACATTACTTCTTTGCTTCCTTTCTTGAAAAGAATAACCACCCAATGAGATCCTTCAAAATCATGAGGATCCAAGTTTACTACTAATGCATTATAAATTGTTTTTATCGATGCAGAGTTTGGGAGACGGTCACACGGGAAGCAACCTCGAAATATTTTGTTTGTTTGAGGATTCGACTTTAATATATGGGTAATTTGATGGCTGTTCATTTCTTAATATAAAAATTTAATTGACTTTTCTTAAATAAATTACCTTTTTCCTAAATTTTCAAGTTCCACTCTTTCTAATTCACTATCCTTATTTTTAAGTGGAAGCACAAGTTTAAACCAAAAGATTGAACGTAACTGGTAAATTATGAGACTAATTATAAAGAGAATATATAAACATATCATCCCCCAACAAAAAATGTGTCCTAACAAACTATCATCTGCTGGTTTTTCTTTACAAAGTTGTATTTGGGGAAATGATGCAAAAATGGGGCCTGCGCTCCTAGTACAATAGGTTTTAAAGTGGTTTGACTTAATTGTTTTATGTATTCGGAATATTCTGGTAAATCATGTAAATAATCCGTTGTTTGAACACATGGAGTAAAAATTCTAATTAAAAGAATTATAATAGATATTTTATTCATTTTTTGAAAAAATTTTACAACTGTGAAAATTATGAAAATTAAATTATTTAAATAGTTGTATCACTGGCTATCGTTCGATTCTTGTCTAGCATTATAAGTGAATCTACCTCCCCCATAACCACTAACATTACACCACCATCTGGAACAGCATTACTAAATTTTATATTCACTGCTGTTGTTCCATTTTTTATTAAATCAAATGTCCCGGCATTATCTTCTCCACTATTTGTTAAGTTAAAAACGTAAATACAATGTGTTTTTCCAAATTGATTATAAGTTATTCCATTTCCTTCTGAAGAGTTTGAAAATCCTATAGCATCATTCATATCATTAAACCCTCTCACATATTTTTCTTTACTATAATCAAAATCATAAGGCGCCTGGGGGTAGCTGCGTCCGTTAGCTATTATACTGATTTCTCTCACATCAAAGGGTTGAAAATTAAAAGGACTGCGGGTTAACGATCCTACATAATCTGAGTTTGCAACTAGACCAAGAGTAACTCGTCGTGGAATTTGGTCCATAAAAAGATTGGCGTTGAATTCGTAGCGGCCTTGACTGATGAATAAAGGTTTCATCATAGTTTTCCTTATTGAATATCGAGCTGGTTTTAATTCTAGTCTTTTAGCTATATCAAGAGATAAACTATCCATTATATCAACTTTTTTGACATATAACTTGCAACTAATCACTTCAAAATTATATATTTTTTGGTTTTCTTCGTTTGTTGGTGCTACTACAACAAACTTTGTATCATTTGGTAAAATTTCAATATCTATTTCACACTGATTTATAAGGTAAAGCGGTTGATTAAAAATGTCCGCATCTAACTTTGCCATAAACTGAGCTGTCTTACTATAAGAAAATAGGCTTTTCCTCTCATTATGTCCTTTACCTCCCTCTAAATCTGTAGATTGATCATAATAATATCCAGCAGAATTAAGATGTGAAGTCTTAGCATTTTGGGAATATGATAATTCGTGAGAAAAATATGTTTTATATGCGTATAGTGAATTTGCATTGAAAACTTCCCTACCATTAATACTTACACGCATATTATTGATAAATGTTTGTCCTATTAATTGAATAGGAGCTACATTATCCGTTGCTTCCAATTTTTTTAATTTTCCATCTTGGTCCTCTTTTTTTATTCGAAATTCCGTAAAAATATAACATTTGGATAAATCGATATAATTTTGACTAGAATGGATTTTAAAATGGTATGGTGTATCTGTAAGGGGATTACTGGTTAAAATCTCAAAAGTTTTTGAAGAAGAAATACTGACATTTGTTGGAGGGACTTGGAAAAAATCCAAAGCATTTGTTATTGAATTGATACTATCACTATCTATTTTATGAAATGCCATTTTTTAATATAATCCAAATGCGTCTGAACGTAATCTTTTCTTCAATGGTTTACCAATAATTGTCTGATAATTGGGTATTTTCTTTTTAATTTTCCTTTCTATACCAGAACCAAATTGTTTTGGAAGACCTCCTCTTTCAAAAATTGTATCAATTCCTTTCTTGCCTTCGCTAATAAAAGCTTCTTTTATTGGTTCGCCTTGACTAACTTTTTCTAATACTCGTTGACCTGTATTTATCGCTTCTTCTTTAACACTGCTTCCAACTTTACGCATTATAGGGAGAAAGAAACGCCACAATCCGCGCATAACATCTCCTACACCCGCGCCTCTTTGCCCATACCCTCTTTGAAAAGGTGCTGCTCCTTTAAAATATAAATTTTCACTTTCTAGTCCACTACCTTTCTGATCATGACTAACAAAGTCATCATAACCTATTGTACTAGTATCGAATATAACATGAACCATTATTTTTTATTAATGAATTTTAAGAATATAATTGAGGTTGAATTTTAAAAATATAATTAAAGATGAAAAATTAAAAATTAATCACTTTCTTAAATATCAAAACGATGAGCACTGTTCCGTAAGAAAAAGGAACAAAGCGTCCATTATCCATTGTTCTTAGCTCAATTTCAATTTCATTAACTTCCCTGGGGAGAACCTTTGCGTAAATCGGTGTGTCATAAATATTCTCATTGTAATCGCCTGGAGTTGCTCCTGCTACTGAAACAACACGTAGTAATGAGCTCAATGTATTTCCTATAATCACATTTTCTGTAAGTCCTTTGGTATAAACTGCAAAACTTGAAAATCCACCCTTCAAGTCACATCCGTATTTTGCTATTTCATTGTTATGGACCATAAGAGGATTTTCGAAACCAAGAACATATCCAAGTTGAGGTGAAAATGATATGTATTTAATAGCTGGGTGGTTCAATGTAACTTTGAACCGATCAAAATCATTGAGAAAATTGATTGTAACAGAGTCTATTATTTTTTTCTTCATAGTATCATCTAATTTACCAATTTTTCCATACTGCCTTATGAGAGCCGGCATATTTTCCCTATAATTTTCTCTTATAGCTTTTGTTGGCTTTCTCTTTATTATCATAGTTAAAATTCGTTCCATCTCTTCTGTCCACATAGGATCTCTATATTCTCCTTTTAGTGCTTCAGGCTTTGGTAAATCAGGAAGCGGAGAAGTAGTCGGGGGATTAATGGGCGAAGGTGGACGTAGTTCTTTAGGAGAAGGGGAGCTAGGATTTTTCTGTGGCTTAGAAATAGATGAATATTGATTTTCATCAGCTGTGGAAATTTTGCGTGGAGGTGACAAAAGTCGTTCTTGAACTGGAGGAAGTGGTGGAAAAGGTTGTTGAGCTGGAGGAAGTGGTGGAGAAGGTTGCAGAGCTGGAGTAACAGGTCTAATATCTTCTTTAGTTGGAGGAGGTGTAACAGATTGAGATTCCTCAAGAGAAATTTGTGGCAAAACGGGAGATAATGGTTTTTGTTGAATGATGGGTTTAGTTTGAGGGAGAGATTGAGGCAATGTGTTGCGAGTAGGTAATGGAGGAGCCCAAAATATCTTTTCTTCTTTGTACCTATCAATACCCTCATATTCTAGAGCTATAAATCTGTCTCTTCTATAACCGGCTAATTTAGAGAGATTATCAATTTTCGTTTGCAATTCCTTTTTCTCTTCATCATTTGAATTATTGTAAGCTGATTTTGTTTCATTGATCTCTTGATATAAATCTAATAAACTGCTAAAATTATTTTGTATTGAGGGCCAATATTCTGCACTGCTTTTATTAAGAAAGAACTCGTCAACAAACACTGAATTGTATTCCCTATTCTCATCCAATGATTTTTGCCTCTCTCTTCTTATTACCTCACCTTGGAGTATTCTTAATCTGGTTATCATCTTTTCAATCTCAATTTTGCGTTTATGAAATTTCGGGTCCGATTCTCCTTTCTTCTCATTTTCAATTATATGACCTATTAATTTGTAATGCTCTTCGGCTAGATTTTCATTGTAATTGTCGGGGAAAATTTCAAAATACTCATCAATAACATCACCGTAAAAGGGAGTTTTCTCAAGATCTCGTCTCCTTGCTTCAACTGAAAGTTTTTCTATGCGTGCTCTTTCCAAATTCTGTTTACTATCTAGATATGCAAGAACTTTTACATATTCACTTTTTTTGGATTCATCTGGTTCACGATTAGTTATACCTCTAAATCTGTCTATTTTCTTTTGCTCTTCGTCAAAAGTGACCCTTAGCTCGCGTAATTTTTCCCAATAATCGTCTGGATTATCAATAAATATATCATCTGTTACTGGGCGAATTTTTTCTTTGATATTTTTTTCGGCATCTATCGATCGTTTCTTTGGTGCTCTTACTGTAGGTCTATCAACTAATTCTTCTGGTCTTTCTAAAGGTGAAGCATCAAATGCGTCTCTTTGTTGAATTAATGTTGATACTAAGAAACTATGAAGCTCTTCAATTGTTTTGTGTGAACCAGGTGGAACGGGAATTCTAAGAACTTTGGCATTTCCTTCACTAGCTGTAAAATGTACGTCTATCCATTGATCATCTAAAGTTCCTATAGTTGATGGCCACGAGTAAGGATAATTTATACTATGTAATCCGCATACCCAGTTTCCTGAGAAGTATAGTGGTTTAGGTAAGTGGACTCTGAATTTGTTTGGTCGATTATCTGGATAATCTGGGACATTACTAGGAAGAAACACAAAAAATGTATTTGACATTTTTATCTAAAATATTGAAATGTTTACAAATGAATATAAATCGATCTTTTATACTAATTGATTTTCTTGTATCCATTCTTTTTCCGGGTATCCAATAAATTTGACCAAGAGTTCATATGTTCCTTCTGGTGTTTTTCTTTTCCTAAAAACTTTTTCAATCCGATATTCTGTGTCAGCATCCTTGCGAACTTTTGAAAGTTCTTCACTATAGAATGAACCTTTAAATTTTTCACCTTTACCATCGCGCAATTTGTATTTTACGGGTCTCGATTCTTCTTTAACTTTATCGACTGTTAATATTTCATCCCCCCAGTTTGGTATATATCCTTTTTCAAAGACCCCTTTTCCCACAGCCATACGTACAAAATCTTCTTTTTTCAACTTAGGTTTTTTACTTCCTTTAAGAATTCTTTTCTTTGTTAAAAGTTCATCTTTCCCATATATTTTCTCCCATACTTCCTGCGCATTCTCGAAATTAACGTCTATAGGCCGCATTCCGTGAACTCTGCTTTTTGATTTATTAATACCTTCGAGAATTTTTTGAATTACATCCACCCAGTTTAATGTTTTATACTGGGAAAAATATCTATAAAGGCGCTGCTTCACATTACGAATTGCCCTTTCAGCTAGTGAAGCTTTGACTATAGAGTGAGTAGCTTCAAGTTTTTGAATATCCTCTTTCTCAAAAAATTCCTTCATTTGATTATTTTTAAATTCTGTTCCCTTATCCGAAAAAATTCTGTGTGGTTTCATAGGCATTTGGCTAATTAGTTCCTTAATACTTTCCATCATTTCATCCATTTTCTTAGATTTTACGGGAATACCAAAAACTCTTTTTGAAAGTACATCAATGCCTAGTAGTAAATATCTATACCCTTTATTATGTCTTGATAATTGTTGAAAGTCTGCTAGGTCAATCTGAACATCTGTCATAAAACCTGAAGCCACTGTTTTTGATCTTTTAAAATGTACACGTTTGGGACGCATAAGTGTATAGGTTCTATGTCCTTGTAGATAATCCTCAACTACTCTTTTGGGAATATTTTTCGAAACTTTCCGAGCCTCATGCCATAGTCTATCTACTCCTGAAAATGCTGCAGGCGAATCCGGATCATTATAGAGATTGTGTAGTAATTTTTTAATATCTACCATTTTTACTTCCACACGACTGGTTTAAATCTATTTATAGGCTTTGGTCTTCTAGTTGATGGTTTCCTCTGGGCCCATCTAACTGTATTTAACCTCTTAGGGGTTGAACTGACTGGTTTTCTAATAATTTGCTTTGTTTCATCTTTAGGTATTTTGTATTCTTGTGGTAATGACACAGATGGTTTGACATTTACAGAGGTGGGGGCTGAGGGTGTATGATATGAAGGTGAAGAAAAATCATGGGTCCACATATCATCCTCATCTGTTATACTTGTAGCAGGGCGAGCTGCAATGCCTTTTGAACTAGTAACCATTTCTACTTTTACAGGTCTATTTTGTCTTTCATTTCTCATTTGTAAATACCGTCTTAACTCTTGATTGTATTTAATATTTTTACTAATTGAATTTTCCTTTGACTTTTTTGATTTCTCTACATCTCTTCTAACAAAATCTAGGTTTGGTTCTCCTGTGTCCTGACTAGTAAGTCCCCGATAAATTTCCTCTGGAACAAGAATAAATTTGTTCGCCATTAAAAATTTTTTTAATTTGTTCCTTTTATATTTCCAATTGATCGTGCCAGTTCCATAAGAACCGGGGTAATAAGTGCAGCGAAAACACCAATCCCTGTACCTTTTTGTCGCAATATTTGCCTTGCCCCTCTTTCACTTCTTGCCCGACTCATTTGGCGAACAAAATTAATATGTGGCATTAATCTTTTCTTTTGGCGTGCATTTAATTGTAGTCGCGATTTTACAACGTTTAAACAAATTTCTGCTATTGCCAATAATTGATTTGTATTTGATAATTTTACAAGTCTCCTTTTCTTTTTTTCTGACTTTGTTTTTGCCAATTCTTTTAAAAAATCAACATTTTCCTGAATAAGTTGGCTGACCATATTTATACGCCGTTTTTTGGAATAAAAATATTTTTTTCTTCGTCTTCCTTAAATATATTCGTACGAAGCCTCAACCCCGGATCAGATGAAGCATGCATATCGATTAGTAAATATCCATAAGGAACATTAGTTGCCTGTCTATATGCGTCTAAAAAGTAATCCAATTTCCTAGGAAAAAGCTGTACTCCTATATTTCTAACAGATAGAGCTGAATTGGGGGAGCGCATAATAATTATGTATTGAGCATTCTGTCTAGCCACTTTAATTTTTTTCTCAAATAAATTTTGTGTGACAAAAATAACCGCAAAGTTCTGATGGTGGGATTTTTTAGTGAATAATTCCGATAGATATTTTTCATCAATAGATAGTAATAAATCATCTAAAATCAATAAAAAAGGTTTTGGAAATTTTTTTAGTACTTCCTCTGTTGGCACTCCTGCTAAAATATGTACACCTGATCTTTGAAGTACAGGGACAATTGAACTCATCTCACCAAAACAATAAACTATACTCTTAGGCTTAGGATCTATTAACTCTTCTGCTTCTGCTATAATTTTTAATAATAAAGTACTCTTCCCACTTGAACTAGGTCCCGAAATAATCATTCCGAAAGGCATTTTAAATTTTAATTCTTTATTTGTAAATGTTAATGATTCCATTTTAATATTTAGCAAATTAGAAAAATTATCCTTAATTAACAATTTATAGTACGGATTATGATTGTGTCACTTTATTATTCACATACAAAGAATTAATTGCTTCCATTTCCTCCTCTTCCATCTTTATTGCCTGAGACTTCAGTTCTTGAACCTTTTGAACATTAGCAGGCAGACCTGTCGTGGCAGCTGCAAGACTTTGATAGAAGTCATTCAACATTTTTGCATTTTCAGCTTCTGGGGTAAGCTGGGGAAGAATAGTTGGCTGAGGAGGTGGTAAGGGTGGAATCGGAATTTGTGATATTGGGGGAGGTGATGGAAGTAGTGGTTGAGGTATTGGAGGCGGTGAAGGAAGAGGTATTTGAGAAGCTGGTGGAGCAGGAGCAAGAATGTGCTTCTTAGGTGGTGAGGGTTGCGGTAATTCATGTGTAATTTTTTGTAACCCGTAAGGAACATTGTAAACCCTTCCTTTGTTCTTGACCTAAATTTTTGGAACATATTTTAATATTTCAAAAGATTAATACCTTAAAGAAACAATGACCAGGAAGATCATAAACTGTGTCAAAAGGAATGAAACGATTTCCACCGATCCGTGTGCAATAAATTGTGACCCCGTCTTTGGTCACAATAAAATCCAATTCGACCTCTGTGCTTCGACACTCACGACAACGTCCTCCTTGATCATAGGGGATAAATCTTGGGGAAGAAAGTCGCGAACTTGAAATAGTTACACCATTCCAGGCAAGATTAAATTCTGCCTCTGGAAGTATTTGTGTTGAGAGGTACTTTTTATCATTCATGTTTAAGGCCATTTTTAATTTTTAAATAATTTGTACAAATTTTCTGACTATATATACCCCTCTATGATAGATTAGCCCCGCCCCTTTAATTAGAAAATTTTACAATTCGTATTTTACCAAAACAATCATTTTCTTTTTTAATAATTTATTTTAAATATTTTCTCTATTTGAAAATTTTTTATTAATTTTATTTAAAAAATCATTAATTTTCAACTAATTTATTAAGACGGTCCCTCAAATGTATTTTTTCTCTTTCTCATATTACAATAATTTTTCCACTCTTGAATATATTCATTGAAAGATCCATTCATATACCTAAAATAAAATAAAAGTAATTAGTCCTCCGAGGCCGACCGGATAAGATCCCTGCCTACTCTAATTCATATTTAAAAGTACAGGTCAAAGGTTCGAGATCGGTCCGAGGATAAGATTTTTATTTAAATTACTCTGTATTCTCTGGAATAATAATATATCACATATATTTACACCCCATAAAAGATAAAATAATTGTTTATTCGGGATATACTTAATACGAATTTAAAACAAGAGGAATTGAGAAAAATAGCAAATTAAATACAGTTAGTCGATAAATAAGTTTTATTTAATGGAAACAATTAATAGAAGTTAGTGAACCAATTAATAAGTAGGTGAACGAACCAATTAATCCTTTCAAAAAACAAGTAGTCAATTAATAGTACTGAAACAATTAGTCAATTAATTATCAGGATTTTTGGGGGACCCTTTTGTCGGCGGGTCCTTTTGAGGGCGGGAGGACTTTGAGTAACAAACTTGGTTCACTAACT